CAGGGACAGGACTCTGAGGAGCACAGGGACTGGACTCTGAGGAGCACAGGGACAGGGCTCTGAGGAGCACAGGGACTGGACTCTGAGGAGCACAGGGACAGGCTTCTGCTCTGACGATGTTCAAATCCAGGTTAAACTCTGTTTAATGCTCAGTGATTATTTTTGATCTTTGTTATTTTAATGTTTATTTTCTGGTTTCCTTCAGTTTCCTTCAGTGAGTTACCACAGTCGATTTACAGGCTCCTCTCTCTCCTCTCCTCTCTCTCCTCTCTCCTCTCTCCTCTCCTCTCTCTCCTCTCTCCTCTCTCCTCTCTCCTCTCCTCTCTCTCCTCTCCTCTCTCTCCTCTCCTCTCCTCTCTCCTCTCTCCCCTCTCCCCTCTCTCCTCTCCTCTCCTCGTTCCTCTCTCTCCTCTCCTCTCCTCTCTCTCCTCTCCCTCTCTCCTCCTCTCTCCCTCTCTCCCTCTCCTCTCTCTCTCTCCTCTCTCTCTCTCCTCTCTCCTCCTCTCCCCCTCTCCCTCTCTCCTCTCCTCTCCTCTCTCTCCTCTCCTCTCTCTCCTCTCCTCTCCTCTCCTCTCTCCTCTCCTCTCCTCTCTCTCCTCTCCTCTCTCTCCTCTCCTCTCCTCTCTCCTCTCTCCCCTCTCCTCTCTCTCCTCTCCCCTCTCTACTCTCTCTCCTCTCCCCTCTCTCCTCCTCTCCCCTCTCCCCTCTCTCCTCTCCTCTCCTCTCTCCTCTCTCTCCTCTCTCCTCTCCTCTCCTCTCTCGCCTCTCCTCTCCTCTCTCCTCTCTCCCCTCTCCCCTCTCTCCTCTCCTCTCCTCTCTCCTCTCTCTCCTCTCCCCTCTCTACTCTCTCCCCTCTCTCCTCCTCTCCCCTCTCCCCTCTCTCCTCTCCTCTCCTCTCTCTCTCTCTCTCTCCTCTCCTCTCTCTCCTCTCCTCTCTCCTCTCTCTCCTCTCCCCTCTCTACTCTCTCCCCTCTCTCCTCCTCTCCCCTCTCTCCTCTCCTCTCCCCTCTCTCGTCTCTCTCTACTCTCTTGTCTCTGTCCTCTCCTCTCTCCTCCTCCTCCTCCTCCTCTCTGCTCCTCCTTCCCCTCAGGCTCAGCGCTCACAGTTGCCAGGTTTGGGTTTGTTTCAGGTGGTTGCCAGGTATGGGGCGCGGCCGTCAGAAGTCAGCCAGGAGTCAGTCTGATCACACTGGGATTGAACTCTGCACCTGCTGCACAGTTCAATGATCCAAACAAATAACATCAACTCATCTGGTCTCTCTCTCTGGTCTCTAACTCTGGTCTCTCTCTCTGGTCTCTCTCTCTCTGGTCTCTCTCTCTGGTCTCTCTCTCTGGTCTCTCACTCTGGTCTCTCTCTCTGGTCTCTCTCTGGTCTCTCTCTCTGGTCTCTCTCTCTGGTCTCTCTCTGGTCTCTCTCTGGTCTCTCTCTCTGGTCTCTCTCTGGTCTCTCTCTCTGGTCCCTCTCTCTGGTCTCTCTCTGGTCTCTCTCTGGTCTCTCTCTGGTCTCTCTCTGGTGTCTCTCTGGTCTCTCTCTCTGGTCTCTCTCTCTGGTCTCTCCTTGGTCTCTCTCTCTGGTCTCTCTCTGGTCTCTCTCTGGTCTCTCTCTCTGGTCCCTCTCTCTGGTCTCTCTCTGGTCTCTCTTCAGGTCAGGACCCCGTAGCACCTGGAGGATCCCATGCTCTGGATCTTGTCTGATTTTATTTTCCACTAAAATTAATGAGCTTCGTTTTTCTCAAAAACCCTTTGGCTTCAAATATTGCATCTGTCAATCAAGTTGTGCAACAGCTTCATTGTTGGCAGAAGACACACCAGGAACGCAGCGTGGGTCGAGCTCGCACTCTCTGCTCTCTTCATAGTCTCTCTCTGGTCTCTCTCTGGTCTCCCTCTGGTCCCTCTCTGGTCTCTCTCTGGTCTCTCTCTGGTCTCTCTCTGGTCTCTCTCTCTGGTCTCTCTCTGGTCTCTCTCTCTGGTCTCTCTCTGGTCTCTCTCTCTGGTCTCTCTCTGGTCTCCCTCTGGTCCCTCTCTGGTCTCTCTCTCTGGTCTCTCTCTCTGGTCTCTCTCTGGTCTCCCTCTGGTCCCTCTCTGGTCTCTCTCTCTGGTTTCTCTCTCTGGTCTCTCTCTCTGGTCTCTCTCACTGGTCTCTCTCTCTGGTCTCTCTCACTGGTCTCTCTCTCTGGTCTCTCTCACTGGTCTCTCTCTCTGGTCTCTCTCTCTGATCTCTCTCACTGGTCTCTCTCACTGGTCTCTCTCTCTGGTCTCTCTCTCTGGTCTCTCTCTCTGGTCTCTCTCTCTGGTCTCTCTCTCTGGTCTCTCTCTCTGGTCTCTCACTGGTCTCTCTCTCTGGTCTCTCTCTCTGGTCTCTCACTGGTCTCTCTGGTCTCTCTCTCTGGTCTCTCTCTCTGGTCTCTCTCTCTGGTCTCCCTCTCTGGTCTCTCTGGTCTCTCTCTCTGGTCTCTCACTGGTCTCTCTCTGGTCTCTCTGGTCTCTCTCTCTGGTCTCTCTCTCTGGTCTCTCTCTGGTCTCCCTCTCTGGTCTCTCTCTGGTCTCTCTCTCTGGTCTCTCTCTGGTCTCCCTCTCTGGTCTCTCTCTGGTCTCTCTCTCTGGTCTCTCTCTGGTCTCTCTCTCTGGTCTCTCTCTCTGGTCTCTCTCTCTGGTCTCTCTCTCTGGTCTCTCTCTCTGGTCTCTATCTCTGGTCTCTCTCTCTGGTCTCTCTCTCTGGTCTCCCTCTCTGGTCTCTCTCTCTGGTCTCTCTCTCTCTGGTCTCCCTCTCTGGTCTCTCTCTCTGGTCTCTCTCTCTGGTCTCTCTCACTGGTCTCTCTCTCTGGTCTCTCTCTCTGGTCTCTCTCTGGTCTCTCACTGGTCTCTCTTTCTGGTCTCTCACTGGTCTCTCTCTCTGGTCTCTCTCTCTGGTCTCTCTCTGGTCTCTCTCTCTGGTCTCTCTCTGGTCTCTCTTTCTGGTCTCTCTCTGGTCTCTCTCTCTGGTCTCTCTCTGGTCTCTCTCTCTGGTCTCTCTCTCTGGTCTCTCTCTCTGGTCTCTCACTGGTCTCTCTTTCTGGTCTCTCTCTGGTCTCTCTCTCTGGTCTCTCTCACTGGTCTCTCTCTCTGGTCTCTCTCTCTGGTCTCTCTCACTGGTCTCTCTCTCTGGTCTCTCTCTCTGGTCTCTCACTGGTCTCTCTCTCTGGTCTCTCTCTCTGGTCTCTCTCTCTGGTCTCTCTCACTGGTCTCTCTCTCTGGTCTCTCTCTCTGGTCTCTCTCTCTGGTCTCTCACTGGTCTCTCTCTCTCTCTGGTCTCTCTCATTGGTCTCTCTCTCTGGTCTCCCTCTCTGGTCTCTCACTGGTCTCTCTCTCTGGTCTCTCTCACTGGTCTCTCTCTCTGGTCTTTCTCTCTGGTCTCTCTCTCTGGTCTCTCAATGGTCTCTCTTTCTGGTCTCTCTCTGGTCTCTCTCTCTGGTCTCTCTCTCTGGTCTCTCTCTCTGGTCTCTCACTGGTCTCTCTCTCTGGTCTCTCACTGGTCTCTCTCTCTGGTCTCTCTCACTGGTCTCTCTGGTCTATCTCTCTCTGGTCTCTCTCTCTGGTCTCTCACTGGTCTCTCTCTCTGGTCTCTCACTGGTCTCTCTTTCTGGTCTCTCTCTGGTCTCTCTCTCTGGTCTCTCTCACTGGTCTCTCTCTCTGGTCTCTCTCTCTGGTCTCTCTCTCTGGTCTCTCTCTGGTCTCTCTCTCTGGTCTCTCTTTCTGGTCTCTCTCTGGTCTCTCTCTCTGGTCTCTCTCACTGGTCTCTCTCTCTGGTCTCTCTCTCTGGTCTCTCTCTCTGGTCTCTCTCTGGTCTCTCACTGGTCTCTCTCTGGTCTCTCACTGGTCTCTCTCTCTGGTCTCTCACTGGTCTCTCTCTCTGGTCTCTCACTGGTCTCTCTCTCTGGTCTCTCTCACTGGTCTCTCTCTCTGGTCTCTCTCTGGTCTCTCTCTCTGGTCTCTCTCACTGGTCTCTCTCTCTGGTCTCTCACTGGTCTCTCTCTCTGGTCTCTCACTGGTCTCTCTCTCTGGTCTCTCACTGGTCTCTCTCTCTGGTCTCTCACTGGTCTCTCTCTCTGGTCTCTCTCACTGGTCTCTCTGGTCTCTCTCTCTGGTCTCTCACTGGTCTCTCTCTCTGGTCTCTCACTGGTCTCTCTCTCTGGTCTCTCACTGGTCTCTCTCTCTGGTCTCTCACTGGTCTCTCTCTCTGGTCTCTCACTGGTCTCTCTCTCTGGTCTCTCACTGGTCTCTCTCTCTGGTCTCTCACTGGTCTCTCTCTCTGGTCTCTCACTGGTCTCTCTCTCTGGTCTCTCACTGGTCTCTCTCTCTGGTCTCTCTCACTGGTCTCTCTGGTCTCTCTCTCTGGTCTCTCACTGGTCTCTCTCTCTGGTCTCTCACTGGTCTCTCTCTCTGGTCTCTCACTGGTCTCTCTCTCTGGTCTCTCACTGGTCTCTCTCTCTGGTCTCTCACTGGTCTCTCTCTCTGGTCCCTCTCTGGTCTCTCTCTCTGGTCTCTCACTGGTCTCTCTCTCTGGTCTCTCTCACTGGTCTCTCTGGTCTCTCTCTCTGGTCTCTCACTGGTCTCTCTCTCTGGTCTCTCACTGGTCTCTCTCTCTGGTCTCTCACTGGTCTCTCTCTCTGGTCTCTCACTGGTCTCTCTCTCTGGTCTCTCACTGGTCTCTCTCTCTGGTCTCTCTCTCTGGTCTCTCACTGGTCTCTCTCTCTGGTCTCTCTCTGGTCTCTCTCTCTGGTCTCTCTCTGGTCTCTCTCTGGTCTCTCACTGGTCTCTCTCTCTGGTCTCTCTCTCTGGTCTCTCACTGGTCTCTCTCTCTGGTCTCTCTCTGGTCTCTCTCTCTGGTCTCTCACTGGTCTCTCTCTCTGGTCTCTCTCACTGGTCTATCTCTCTCTGGTCTGGTATTCAAACCAACGGCTTGTGCACTAACCAGTGTGGGAGGGTCCCGGCTCAAAATGTCAAAAATGACGTGCGCTGACATGCTGCAGTACCACCCCGGGCCTGTGGGGGTGGACCCTGACATGCTGCAGTACCACCCCGGGCCTGTGGGGGTGGACCCTGACATGCTGCAGTACCACCCCGGGCCTGTGGGGGTGGACCCTGACATGCTGCAGTACCACCCCGGGCCTGTGGGGGTGGACCCTGACATGCTGCAGTACCACCCCGGGCCTGTGGGGGTGGACCCTGACATGCTGCAGTACCACCCCGGGCCTGTGGGGGTGGACCCTGACATGCTGCAGTACCACCCCGGGCCTGTGGGGGTGGACCCGGACATGCTGCAGTACCACCCCGGGCCTGTGGGGGTGGACCCTGACATGCTGCAGTACCACCCCAGACCTGTGGGGGTGGACCCGGAATAAGAATTAACCAATGCTAACATATAGCATTAGCTGACCTCTCGAAAACACCTTTACAGGATTGTCCTTGGTCCAAAAGTGGCTCTTGGTCCAAAAGTGGCCCTTGGTCCAAAAGTGGCCCTTGGTCCAAAAGTGGCCCTTGGTCCAAAAGTGGCCCTTGGTCTATAAGTGGTTCTTGGTCCATAAGTGGTTCTTGGTCCAAAAGTGGTTCTTGGTCCAAAAGTGGCTCTTGGTCCAAAAGTGGCTCTTGGTCCAAAAGTGGCTCTGGGTCCTCTTGGTTCCAGATGCGGTCTGAGGGGAGTGTATGTTTTTGGACCAGTCTAGTTTAGTCGCTGTGGACTTCAGAATGCACTCTGGGCGGCCATTTTGAAACCGCCCAGAGACAGAGAATGTGATGTCACATTAGTTTGAACGGCGGAAACAGATGTGACTACGTCTTTAATATTCACGATCTATGGTGGCGCCCCCCCATGGGCTCCGAAAGATTAGCATAAGATTGTGCAGTGGACGAGCTCCCATGATGCTTTGCTCCAAATAAGCGTGTGTGGATCTCTACATGTGCACAGAGGGCAGCGTTCTGACCGATCAGAGGGCAGCGTTCTGATTGATCAGAGGGCAGCGTTCTGATTGATCAGAGGGCAGCGTTCTGATTGATCAGAGGGCAGCGTTCTGACCAATAAGAGGGCAGCGTTCTGACCAATAAGAGGGCAGCGTTCTGACCAATCAGAGGGCAGCGTTCTGACCAATAAGAGGGCAGCGTTCTGACCAATCAGAGGGCAGCGTTCTGACTGATCAGAGCTGATCGAGGCGACAGTAGCTCAGTTGTAGAGCATTGGCCTTTGAGCGTGAAGGTTGTGGGTTCGAATCCACCACAAGACTTTCTACACCAACTCCAACTGATGTTGTTGTGTCCTTGGGCAAGACACTTAACCTCTGGGAACAGCAGGTGCCACAGTGGGGCGGCTGTGGCTGTAAAGTGCCAAACTGTGGTTGTGTCCTTAAGCAAGACACTTTCCCCACATTAGAATGAGTCTGGTGTGTGTGTGTGAATTAAGAATAAGAATAAGAAAACTTTATTGTCCACCAAGGTGGAAAATTGCCTTTGGTTATCACCTTAAAATACATAAAAGACACACATCCAGCACAATATCATGTGGCACTACATTCACAGAACAATTGGAAGAACAAACCAACAAGGCCACCTCCGGCCTGAAGACAAGAGTCAAGCTCAGGACTGCTCAAAGCTTAAGAGTGTTTGACGCTTTCACTGCTCTGGGCACAAAGGAGTTTTTAAAAATGTTTTTCTTAGCTGATATCACTCGATATCTCCGTCCTGACGGCAGAAGTTCAAACTTTGGGTTTAGCGGAAGCATCTTTAATGATGAGCTCAGCCTTCTTTCCCAAGCGCTCCTCGAACAAACACTGGAGAGATCTTTGTGGCTGCCCAATGATCTTCGAGCTCTGGTTCACGATCCTTTGGAGTTTGTTTTGGTTCTTCATGCTGAGGTTGCCAAACCACATCAGCATGTTAAAGGTGAGGATGCTCTCCACCAGGCTCTTGTAGACCGTCTCAAGGATAGAACGACTCACACCAAAATTAGGGCTGGGACTCGATTAAAAAATGAAAAGAAGTAGAGGCTTTGTGATTAATTAATTGCAATTAATTGCATATAAATATTTGTCCTGAGAACAGTAAGAAGTATTTTTTACACTGAATAATGAGTGAATATATAAACTTAAACACATGTTCATTGAGGAGGAGCAGACGGACTGTTATCGCCTCCACACTCTGACAACAGACCTCTTTATAAACAGAATCCACTAACAGTGAGCACTAGGGCTTTGACTTCTGATATTCAAATATAATTCGAATATTAAAAATATATATATATTTGAACAAATATTAGACAGCCCTAAATATTCTAAATGTATTTAATGACTGCAAATAAAATAAATAGCTCCCAAAGGTCTTGGCCATGGATCTATTGTGCTAACGCTAGGCAGCTAACGGCTAAGCTAGTTCTACTCTCTGGACCTACATGAAAACTGAACCAAGAATTCTGACCATCAGAGTTACTCATTTATATACACAACCTATATCTATAATCATTTATATATGAACCTATATCTATAATCATTTATATATGAACCTATATCTATAATCATTTATATATGAACCTATATCTATAATCATTTATATATGAACATATATCTATAATCATTTATATATGAACATATATCTATAATCATTTATATATGAACCTATATCTATAATCATTTATATATGAACCTATATCTATAATCATTTATATATGAACATATATCTATAATCATTTATATATGAACATATATCTATAATCATTTATATATGAACATATATCTATAATCATTTATATATGAACCTATATCTATAATCATTTATATTTGAACATATATCTATAATCATTTATATATGAACATATATCTATAATCATTTATATATGAACATATATCTATAATCATTTATATATGAACATATATCTATAATCATTTATATATGAACATATATCTATAATCATTTATATATGAACATATATCTATAATCATTTATATATGAACATATATCTATAATCATTTATATATGAACATATATCTATAATCATTTATATATGAACATATATCTATAATCATTTATATATGAACATATATCTATAATCATTTATATATGAACATATATCTATAATCATTTATATATGAACATATATCTATAATCATTTATATATGAACCTATATCCATAATCATTTATATATGAACCTATATCTATAATCATTTATATATGAACATATATCTATAATCATTTATATATGAACATATATCTATAATCATTTATATATGAACATATATCTATAATCATTTATATATGAACCTATATCTATAATCATTTATATATGAACATATATCTATAATCATTTATATATGAACATATTTCTATAATCATTTATATATGAACATATATCTATAATCATTTATATATGAACCTATATCTATAATCATTTATATATGAACCTATATCCATAATCATTTATATATGAACCTATATCTATAATCATTTATATATGAACCTATATCCATAATCATTTATATATGAACCTATATCTATAATCATTTATATATGAACCTATATCTATAATCATTTATATATGAACATATATCTATAATCATTTATATATGAACATATATCTATAATCATTTATATATGAACATATATCTATAATCATTTATATATGAACCTATATCTATAATCATTTATATATGAACCTATATCCATAATCATTTATATATGAACCTATATCTATAATCATTTATATATGAACATATATCTATAATCATTTATATATGAACATATATCTATAATCATTTATATATGAACATATATCTATAATCATTTATATATGAACCTATATCTATAATCATTTATATATGAACCTATATCTATAATCATTTATATATGAACATATATCTATAATCATTTATATATGAACCTATATCTATAATCATTTATATATGAACATATATCTATAATCATTTATATATGAACATATATCTATAATCATTTATATATGAACATATATCTATAATCATTTATATATGAACCTATATCTATAATCATTTATATATGAACCTATATCTATAATCATTTATATATGAACATATATCTATAATCATTTATATATGAACATATATCTATAATCATTTATATATGAACATATATCTATAATCATTTATATATGAACTATATCTATAATCATTTATATATGAACATATATCTATAATCATTTATATATGAACCTATATATCTATAATCATTTATATATGAACATATATCTATAATCATTTATATATGAACATATATCCATAATCATTTATATATGAACATATATCTATAATCATTTATATATGAACATATATCTATAATCATTTTTATATATGAAACTATATCTATAATCATTTATATATGAACCTATATCCATAATCATTTATATATGAACATATATCTATAATCATTTATATATGAACATATATCTATAATCATTTATATATGAACATATATCTATAATCATTTATATATGAACATATATCTATATAATCATTTATATATGAACCTATATCTATAATCATTTATATATGAACATATATCTATAATCATTTATATATGAACATATATCCATAATCATTTATATATGAACTATATCTATAATCATTTATATATGAACATATATCCATAATCATTTATATATGAACATATATCTATAATCATTTATATATGAACCTATATCTATAATCATTTATATATGAACATATATCTATAATCATTTATATATGAACCTATATCCATAATCATTTATATATGAACCATATATCCATAATCATTTATATATGAACCTATATCATAATCATTTATATATGAACCTATATCCAAATAATCATTTATATATGAACCTATATCTATAATCATTTATATATGAACCTATATCCTATAATCATTTATATATGAACCATATATCATAATCATAATTTATATATGAACCTATATCTATAATCATTTATATATGAACATATATCTATAATCATTTATATATGAACCTATATCTATAATCATTTATATATGAACCTATATCTATAATCATTTATATATGAACCTATATCTATAATCATTTATATATGAACCTATATCCATAATCATTTATATATGAACCTATATCTATAATCATTTATATATGAACATATATCTATAATCATTTATATATGAACATATATATATCTATATGAACTATATCTATAATCATTTATATATGAACCTATAATCCATAATCATTTATATATGAACCTATATCTATAATCATTTATATATGAACCTATATCTATAATCATTTATATATGAACATATATCTATAATCATTTATATATGAACATATATCTATAATCATTTTATATATGAACATATATCTATAATCATTTATATATGAACCTATATCTATAATCATTTATATATGAACCTATATCCATAATCATTTATATATGAACCTATATCTATAATCATTTATATATGAACATATATCTATAATCATTTATATATGAACATATATCTATAATCATTTATATATGAACATATATCTATAATCATTTATATATGAACCTATATCTATAATCATTTATATATGAACCTATATCCATAATCATTTATATATGAACATATATCTATAATCATTTATATATGAACCTATATCTATAATCATTTATATATGAACATATATCTATAATCATTTATATATGAACATATATCCTATAATCATTTATATATGAACATATATCTATAATCATTTATATATGAACATATATCTATAATCATTTATATATGAACCTATATCTATAATCATTTATATATGAACATATATCTATAATCATTTATATATGAACATATATCTATAATCATTTATATATGAACCTATATCTATAATCATTTATATATGAACATATATCTATAATCATTTATATATGAACATATATCTATAATCATTTATATATGAACATATATCTATAATCATTTATATATGAACATATATCTATAATCATTTATATATGAACATATATCTATAATCATTTATATACTGAACCTATATCCATAATCATTTATATACTGAACCTATATCCATAATCATTTATATATGAACCTATATCCATAATCATTTATTATATGAACATATATCCATAATCATTTATATATGAACATATATCCATAATCATTTATATATGAACATATATCCATAATCATTTATATATGAAACCTATATCCATAATCATTTATATATGAAACTATATCCATAATCATTTATATATGAACATATATCCATAATCATTTATATATGAACATATATCCATAATCATTTATATATGAACATATATCCATAATCATTTATATATGAACTATATCCATAATCATTTATATATGAACCTATATCCATAATCATTTATATATGAACCTATATCCATAATCATTTATATATGAACCTATATCCATAATCATTTATATATGAACCTATATCATAATCATTTATATATGAACTATATCCATAATCATTTATATATGAACATATATCCATAATCATTTATATATGAACCTATATCCATAATCATTTATATATGAACTATATCCATAATCATTTATATATGAACATATATCCATAATCATTTATATATGAACATATATCCATAATCATTTATATATGAACCTATATCCATAATCATTTATATATGAACATATATCCATAATCATTTATATATGAACATATATCCTATAATCATTTATATATGAACCTATATCCATAATCATTTATATATGAACCATATATCCTATAATCATTTATATATGAACCTATATCCATAATCATTTATATATGAACCTATATCCATAATCATTTATATATGAACTATATCCATAATCATTTATATATGAACCTATATCCATAATCATTTATATATGAACCTATATCCATAATCATTTATATATGAACCTATATCCATAATCATTTATATATGAACATATATCCATAATCATTTATATATGAACCTATATCCATAATCATTTATATATGAACATATATCTATAATCATTTATATATGAACTATATCCATAATCATTTATATATGAACATATATCCATAATCATTTATATATGAACCTATATCCATAATCATTTATATATGAACCTATATCCATAATCATTTATATATGAACATATATCCATAATCATTTATATATGAAACATATATCTATAATCATTTATATATGAACTATATCTATAATCATTTATATATGAACCTATATCCATAATCATTTATATATGAACCTATATCCATAATCATTTATATATGAACATATATCCATAATCATTTATATATGAACATATATCCATAATCATTTATATATGAACATATATCCATAATCATTTATATATGAACATATATCCATAATCATTTATATATGAACATATATCCATAATCATTTATATATGAACATATATCTATAATCATTTATATATGAACCTATATCCATAATCATTTATATATGAACATATATCTATAATCATTTATATATGAACCTATATCCATAATCATTTATATATGAACATATATCTATAATCATTTATATATGAACATATATCTATAGTCATTTATATATGAACCTATATCCATAATCATTTATATATGAACCTATATCTATAATCATTGATATATGAACATATATAATCTGACCCCTGCAGTTGTTCCTGACATGTCTGTTTCATGTTAATGGTTCCTGTCTGCACAGACCATAAACGCTTCATGGTACAGACACAGACCATAGACTGTATCCATGGACAGACTCCTGCTGAAAGACTGTACTCTCTGAATAATGTTAGGAGCCGTTTAATAAATTATTATTCAATATTCAAATATATTCAAATATTTAAATTATTAAAAAACAAAGTTTGAATATGATTTTGTCCAAAAGTCAAAGCCCCAGAGAGCACTACATGTTTCTGATGTGTGCATTTGAACTACAGCATCACACCTGTGCTCCTCCTCCTCCTCCTCCTCCTCCTCCTGCTCACACACAGGAGTCGCTCCTCCTCTTCTTCACACACAGGAGTCGCTCCTCCTCTTCCTCACACACAGGAGTCGCTGCTCCTCTTCCTCACACACAGGAGTCGCTCCTCCTCTTCTTCACACACAGGAGTCGCTCCTCCTCTTCCTCACACACAGGAGTCGCTCCTCCTCTTCTTCACACACAGGAGTCGCTCCTCCTCTTCCTCACACACAGTAGTCGCTCCTCCTCTTCCTCACACACAGGAGTCGCTCCTCCTCTTCCTCACACACAGGAGTCGCTCCTCCTCTTCTTCACACACAGGAGTCGCTCCTCCTCTTCCTCACACACAGGAGTTGCTCCTCCTCTTCCTCACACACAGGAGTCGCTCCTCCTCTTCTTCACACACAGGAGTCGCTCCTCCTCTTCCTCACACACAGGAGTCGCTGCTGCTCCTCCTCCTCCTCCTCCTCCTCCTCCTTCTCCTCCTCCTCCTCCTCCTCCTCCTCCTCCTCCTCCTCCTCCTCCTTCTCCTTCTCCTCCTCCTCCTCCTCCCTCCTCCTCCTCCTCCTCCTTCTCCTCCTCCTCCTCCTCCTCCTCCTCCTCCTCCTCCTCACACAGTGAGTCCATAACTCCACACACAGCTTTCCCGTCTCTAACTCTCTCCCTCACTGCTCAGACGCTGAAGTTGCTCTGTGCTTGTTATAATGTACTTTTGAACAAGAAAAGTCTTGGAGCTCAGTTGGTGCGCCAGTATAATCGGTCCGTCTGAAACATATCTCCAGTAAGGAACGTTCCGCGGTGGAAAATACACATGTGATTAAAATGCGTAATTTTTTTTAACGCACTAATTTTTGTGGCGTTAATTAGTCGTAATTATCGCGTTAAAGTTCCGGCCCTAGTATGAATGGTTGGTGGTGGGAGGGGCCTCGCTTCTGTCAGTTTGCCCCAGGGCAGCTGTGGCTACAGTAGTTTGTCACCACCGTGTTAGCAGCATAGACTGTATATAATAACGGACAGAGTCACGCCTATCTCCGCCGTTCATAGGAGTGGGCCATGAAAAGTGCTTTCATGGAGCAATCCAAGATGGCCGCGAGTGGTCCCGCCCACAAGAAAATTGTGAAAAAACGCATCTGCGCATGCGTCAGCCGGCGCAGCTCCATTCATTTGAACGAGAGACTTCAAAAATTCACAGCGACTAAACTAGACTGGTCCAGAACACTCAGCATTGACACACATGTGGACCGGAGCTTTGGGCCAAGAGACAACTTTTGGTCCATCCTATAAAGACGTTTTTGAGAGGTCTGCTAACGCTATATGTTAGCATTGGCTAATTCTTCTTCTGGGTCCTCCCCCACAGGCCCGGGGTGGTATTGCAGCATGAGCCGGGACCCGCCCACACTGGTATTGGAGAGAATGAATAATGATGTGAAGAGACTTTGAGAGTCCAAAAAAGCGCTGAATAAAACTGATTTATTATTATTATTATTATTAGAGTGGGAGGAAAACCAGTAGAGTTTGTGTCACTAAAGTGTGGATTTATAGAAAACCGAAGGATTTAACAATAGAATAGAGTAGAGTAGAGTAGAGTACACCACAGTAGAGTAGAGTAGAGTACAGCACAGTAGAGTAGAGTAGAGTACAGTAGAGTAGAGTAGAGTAGAGTAGACCACAGTAGAGTAGAGTAGACCACAGTAGAGTAGAGTAGAGTACACCACAGTAGAGTAGAGTAAAGTAGAGTAGAGTAGAGTAAAGTAAAGTACACCACAGCAGAGTAGAGTACACCACAGCAGAGTAGAGTACACCACAGTAGAGTAGAGTACAGTAGAGTAGAGTACACCACAGTAGAGTAGAGTAGAGTAGAGTAGAGTAGAGTACAGTAGAGTAGAGTACACCACAGTAGAGTTGAGTACACCACAGTAGAGTAGAGTAGAGTACACCACAGTAGAGTAGAGTACACCACAGTAGAGTAAAGTAAAGTACACCACAGTAGAGTAGAGTAAAGTACACCACAGTAGAGTAGAGTAGAGTACACCACAGTAGAGTAGAGTACACCACAGTAGAGTAGAGTAAAGTACACCACAGTAGAGTAGAGTACACCAAAGTAGAGTAGAGTAAAGTACACCACAGTAGAGCAGAGTAGAGTAGAGTACACCAAAGTAGAGTAAAGTAAAGTACACCAGAGTAGAGTAGAGTAGGGTAGAGTACACCACAGTAGAGTACACCACAGTAGAGTAGAGTAGAGTAAAGTACACCACAGTAGAGTAGAGTACACCACAGTAGAGTACACCACAGTAGAGTAGAGTAGAGTAGAGTAGAGTAGAGTATAGAGTACACCACAGTAGAGTAGAGTACAGTAGAGTAGAGTAGAGTAGAGTAGAGTACAGTAGAGTAGAGTAGAGTAGAGTACAGTAGAGTAGAGTAGAGTAGAGTACAGTAGAGTAGAGTATAGAGTACACCACAGTAGAGTAGAGTACAGTAGAGTAGAGTAGAGTAGAGTAGAGTACAGTAGAGTAGAGTATAGAGTACACCACAGTAGAGTAGAGTAGAGTAGAGTAGAGTAGTGTAGAGTAAAGTACTGAGCCGGGGCAGGTGTAGTTTGGTTTATTACTTTACAGAATCACAAACAAAAGACAAATATTTAAAGTAAGTTCTGTAAAAAGAAACACATTATTTACAAAAGGACGCAGCACTTTATACACAAACCTCACAAGTGCTTCTGTTTTTCATTAATACAAAATAAAGTGATAATAATAAGTCTGAGAAACATCAGTAAAATATTAACATTAACAAGAACTACACAGTATTTACCAAACCGACAACAACAACAACAACAACAGGTTAGTGCTGATCCCAGGACTTCAGCACGGACCGAGACCAGGTCTGAGTCTGGGGCCGAGACCGGGTCTGAGTCTGGGGCCGAGACCGGGTCTGAGTCTGGGGCCGAGACCGGGTCTGAGTCTAGGGCCGAGACCGGGTCTGAGTCTGGGGCCGAGACCGGGTCTGAGTCTGGGGCCGAGACCGGGTCTGAGTCTGGGGCCGAGACCGGGTCTGAGTCTAGGGCCGAGACCGGGTCTGAGTCTGGGGCCGAGACCGGGTCTGAGTCTGGGGCCGAGACCGGGTCTGAGTCTAGGGCCGAGACCGGGTCTGAGTCTGGGACCGAGACTAGGACCAAGACTGGGTCCAAGACTGAGTCCAAGACTGAGTCCAAGACTGAGTCCAAGACTGAGTCCAAGACTGAGTCCAAGACTGAGTCCAAGACTGAGTCCACAAATAGGATCAGTTTTTCTAGAAACAGAAGGAAGTAAAAAACTCTCAAATAGAAAAGCAGCAAAAACATTTAAATCTGTGAACGTCAGTGGTGTCTGAGGGAGAGGGGGGGAGAGAGGGGAGGGGAGGGAGGGGAGGGGAGGGAGGGTAGAGAGGGGAGGGGAGAGAGGGGGGGGGGAGGGGGGGAGGGGGGGGAGAGGGGAGGGGAGAGAGGGGAGGGGGGGAGGGGAGGGGAGGGAGGGGAGAGAGGGGAGGGGAGGGAGGGGAGGGGAGGGAGGGGAGAGAGGGGAGGGGAGAGAGGGGAGGGGAGAGAGGGGGGGAGAGAGGGGAGGGGGGGAGAGAGGGGAGGGGAGGGAGGGGAGGGGAGGGAGGGGAGGGGGGGAGGGAGGGGAGAGAGGGGAGGGGAGGGAGGGGAGAGAGGGGAGGGGAGAGAGGGGAGGGGAGGGAGGGGGAGAGAGGGGAGGGGAGAGAGGGGAGGGGAGGGAGGGGAGAGAGGGGAGGGGAGGGGAGGGGAGGGAGGGGAGAGAGGGGAGGGGAGGGAGGGGAGAGAGGGGAGGGGAGGGAGGGGAGAGAGGGGAGGGGAGGGGAGGGAGGGGAGAGAGGGGAGGGGAGGGAGGGGAGAGAGGGGAGGGGAGAGAGGGGAGGGGAGGGAGGGGGAGAGAGGGGAGGGGAGGGGGGAGGGAGGGGAGAGAGGGGAGGGGAGGGAGGGGAGGGGAGGGGAGGGAGGGGAGAGAGAGGGAGGGGAGGGGAGGGAGGGGAGAGAGGGGAGGGGAGGGAGGGGAGAGAGGGGAGGGGAGGGGAGGGAGGGGAGAGAGGGGAGGGGAGGGAGGGGAGAGAGGGGAGGGGAGGGAGGGGAGGGAGGGGAGAGAGGGGAGGGGAGGGAGGGGAGGGGAGGGAGGGGAGGGAGGGGAGGGAGGGGAGGGAGGGGAGGGAGGGGAGGGGAGGGGAGGGAGGGGAGAGAGGGGAGGGGAGGGGAGGGAGGGGAGAGAGTTTTCAGTCAGATCAAAACCTCTGTTCAAGAATCAGTTTTTATGAAACTGGAGCGATTCACAAACGACTTCAGCAGACCATAAAGAGACCAGAGAGAGACCAGAGAGAGACCAGAGAGAGACCAGAGAAAGACCAGAGAAAGACCAGAGAGAGACCAGAGAGAGACCAGAGAGAGACCAGAGAAAGACCAGAGAAAGACCAGAGAGAGACCAGAGAGAGACCAGAGAGAGACCAGAGAGAGACCAGAGAGAGACCAGAGAGAGACCAGAGAGAGACCAGAGAGAGACCAGAGAGAGACCAGAGAGAGACCAGGGGGAGACCAGAGCGAGACCAGGGGGAAGGGGGAGACCAGAGAGAGACCAGAGCGAGACCAGGGGGAGACCAGGGTGAGACCAGGGTGAGACCACAGAGAGACCACAGAGAGACCAGAGAGAGACCAGAGAGAGACCAGAGAGAGACCAGGGGGAGACCAGAGGGAGACCAGAGCGAGACCAGGGGGAGACCAGAGAGAGACCAGAGCGAGACCAGGGGGAGACCAGGGTGAGACCACAGAGAGACCACAGAGAGACCAGAGAGAGACCAGAGAGAGACCAGAGAGAGACCAGAGAGAGACCAGAGCGAGACCAGGGGGAGACCAGGGTGAGACCACAGAGAGACCACAGAGAGACCAGAAAGAGACCAGAGAGAGACCAGAGAGAGACCAGAGAGAGACCAGAAAGAGACCAGAGAGAGACCAGAGAGAGACCGGAGAGAGACCAGAAAGAGACCAGAGAGAGACCAGAGGGAGACCAGAGAGAGACCAGAGAGAGAGACCAGAGAGAGACCAGAGAGAGACCAGAGAGAGACCAGAGAGGAGACCAGAGGGAGACCAGAGAGAGACCAGAGAGAGGCCAGAGAGAGAGACCAGAGAGAGACCAGAGAGAGCAGAGAGACCAGAGAAAGTCGCTGTGGAGGCATGTGGCCAGGTGCCGGCTTTCACAGAAAGATGCCCAGGCTAAACCAGGTAGAAGTAGGGTCCAGTCCCTCTGCTCCCTAGCCCAGCCTGTACCGGAGGGCATCAGCAAAAAGCTGTGGTCTTTAATTTCGGCAATGCATCAGGATGAGGTCACGGGTGTTGTCAAAGCAGAAAAGGGGATTCTGAGACTCGGAGAGCACCTGTACTTAAAACACGGGCATGATAAGACAAAGCATGATTACATTAGGCAGAAAATGAGAGAAGTCGGTAGGTTAATTAACGAAGCAAAAACCGCAGGGAAACTGAAAACAATTAAGGATTTCTTTATTCCTTCCAACTTTAACCATGTGATTGATGCAGTCAGGTCTGTGGCTGGATATGATGAGGAAACAAATCAATACAAGACTCCATCCTTGGCCCTCAAACTCGGCCATAGCCTCAGAAAGCTAGCAGATATTCTTGAATGTGACTCAAAAATGGAGCATTGTGTTGATGAACTATTTATTAAAAACCTCCAACGAAGCCGGCTGCTTTTTGAGAAGAGGTGGGACGTCTGTGTTTCTTCTGCTGCCCTACAGACCCTCCGGCAAGCCAAGTGGAACACTCCGGACCTGCTCCCTCTGACTGAGGACGTTAGAGCCATGCATGCACATATTGAGGTATGTCGACCTGAATATGTGCAAACCCTAATAAGTGAGCCAACGTCTAAGCATTGGTCTAAACTGGCAGTTTTGACTCTTTGTGAGGTCATCATTTTCAATCGAAGAAGGGAAGGTGAGGTTTCAAAGATGCCACTGACAGCCTTTACCTTAAGAAGTAAGACTGGGATCCATTCTGACATTGCTCTGGGACTGTCCCAACTTGAGAAAAAGCTGTGTCAGCATTTTCAACGCATTGAAATTAAAGGGAAAAGAAGTCGGAAAGTGCCGGTTCTTTTGACTCCTGAAATGATTGCTTCGATGGAGGTGCTGGTGGAGAACAGAAGGGCCTGTTCCATCTCTGACCATAACCCATACTTCTTTTCCCGCCCGGGCGCAGACACCCACATCAGGGGATCAGACTCCCTACGCCAGGTAGCCAAAGAATGTGGTGCGGTGCATCCAGAGATGCTATCCTCAACCAAACTTAGAAAGCACATAGCTACTATGTCTACAGTTCTCAATATGAAAGAGAATGAGATGGACATACTTGCCAACTTCCTCGGCCATGACATTCGCATCCACAGGCAATATTACAGACTACCAGAGGGGACACTGGAGCTGGCCAAAATCAGCAAAGTGTTGATGGCCATGGAGCAGGGAAGAGTGACGGAATTCGAAGGAAAGAGCCTCGACCAGATACAAATTGAGCCTGAAGGTAATTCTTGATATTATTAAAATATGTATGATTTTTTTCCCCTAAAGGCCACTTGTATTTTTATTTTCTGTGCGACAGGGAGAGCAGTAGAGATCCTCTCACAAACGGACGGGCTAAAAGAAACTTCAAGCGGAGAACCTTCAACCATTCATCCAGATGCACCCCATGGTAGTGGCAGTGCCCCTTCTGGTAAGTGTACCAGGTGGGGGATTACAGCCAGGCTGCTTGGTCCTCACCCTGGGAGTGTATATCGCTAATATATTTTTATTTCTCTCCCTAGAACGTGTAAGAAAGCCATGGTCTGCATCTGAGGTGAAGGCTGTGGAGAAGACCATGACACCTTTCATACAGACTGGAAAGGTCCCTGGGAAGTCTCACTGCCTGGCCTGCATTAATGCCTCACCAGATGACCTTAGACATCGGACATGGAGTGGCATTAAATTCTATGTCAAAAATAGAATCACTGCAATTCGAAAACAAAATCTAAAATAAAATTCCTTTAAAATAGTTGTTTGGTTTCTATTGACTGTTTTGTATTACTTAACGTCTTGGTAAAAAAAAGATTATGTCTATGGGTCCCATTCTGAACGGCCTTGTCAAAGGGACCCACCAGGTAACAAAAACGTGTATGTGTGGGTGTGTATGTGTGCGTGGTGTGGGTGTGTATGTGTGTGTGTGTATGTGTGCGTGGTGTGTGTGTGTATGTGTGTGTGGTGTGTATGTGTGCGTGGTGTGGGTGTGTATGTGTGCGTGGTGTGTGTGTGGTGTGTGTGTGTGTGGTGTGTGTGTATGTGTGCGTGGTGTGGGTGTGTATGTGTGCGTGGTGTGGGTGTGTATGTGTGTGTGTGTATGTGTGCGTGGTGTGTATGTGTGCGTGGTGTGTGCGTGGTGTGTGTGTGTGTGGTGTGTGTGTATGTGTGCGTGTGTGATGCATCCACCCATCACCCTCATTGCTCCTCTGTCTGATGTGGTGCATTAAAAAGGACACTGTGGGAGGTTGCTTACCTGGGGCAGGGGCACTGTTCCAAGGGCATGTATCCTGTATCCCTACTAGTTCTTTCTTTTCTTTTTTCTTTTTTTTTTTTAATAATGTGTATTATGTATCCATACATATTCATATTCTTGTGTATGACTTGTGGTGCATTAAAAACACAGAGGAGGGAGGTGGAAGGATTTGGGCAAGTTCCGACTGAGATATTAATATGGTGGGGTAAGGAAAATGATCAATTAATGTAATATGTATTGGAAAAAATAAAAAATAAAAAATAAAAAAGTGTGTAGGATCTGAACAATGTGCTACTGAACAAAGGGAGAGAACAAATGACAATAATAATTACAGTTGCAAATACAGAAAGGAGAGAGAGAGAAAAAAAGAAAATAAAAAAAGAAAATAAAGAATGGAATGGAGGATGGACATGGGTTAATTTATTATGATTATTACCATTATTATCATCATCACTACCACCTCTACTACTACTACTACTACTACTACTAATACCAACAATAATAATAATACTAATAACAATATCAATACCAACAACTACAACAACAACAACAGTATTATTATTATTGGTGTCAGTTTTTATATAGTTTCTCCAAAGTTTTAATATGATTTGCCTCTTTGGGGGGTCGGCTTTGTTTATTAATAATCAATGATCACAGGGATGAGGGAATGGTTATACAAGACACTAAAAAAAGGGGGGACATGGAGAGGAGAAAGAGAAGAATGAGGAGAAATAAATAAATAAATAATAATAATTAAAGTGTGTGGTTGTGAGAGTGTGGGTGCTGGTTGTGAGAGTGTGGGTGCTGGTTGTGAGAGTGTGGGTGCTGGTTGAGTGAGTTGGAGGCAGGTTATGAAGGGTTCATGCTTCAGGAAAGGCTGAGACAGTGTTGTGTTTGTGAGCTGATCTTTGAGGAGGCGGGTCCAGTCAGTGATGTGCCATGATTTTTTGGATTTCCAGTTTTGAAAGATTATTTTCTTGCTGACAGTTAAGGAGATGAGTAATGGGTTTTTAAGCTTAGATGGGAGGGTTATTTCTGTAGTGTTCCCTCGGAGGCAGAGTGAGGGGTCCATTGGAGTTCTGCATAATCATGGAGAGTGTTTTGGTTGTTGTCCAGAGAGAGTGAACCGGTTTGCAGCCAGTGTGGCATGGAAGTAACTGTAGAGTTCTGAGTGCATTGTGTGCACATGTCTGTGTCTGTTAGTCCCATTTTAAACATTTGTCTTTGGGTGATGTGAAATCTGTGGATAGTTTTGTATTGAATCAGTTGTAGGTTGGAGTTCCTGGTCATAGAGAAGATATTGTTATTGATTTGTATCCAGGAGCCGGGAGAGATTCCCAAGTCGTTTTCCCATTTTGTGGAAGATTGTGGTGTCTTGTTTAGATATAAGTTTATGAAGTTTGGAGGTTATTTTTTTGAGTTCGTAATTTTAAAGATCTCTGTACTTAGTTCGGATGGTTCCAATGAGTTATTTGTTATATTTTTGATTTTATTACATATTTGAGTTGCTGGTAGTGGGGGAACTGTTCTCTCCCAACCCCGAACTTGGATGAAACGGTTGCTGTCAAATAAGTGATGTAGATGTGTGATTCCTTTTTGTTGCCATGACGGAAAGTGAACAGGGGAGTTGTGAAGTTGGAAGTCTGGATTGTGCCAAATTGGGGTGTGTTTACATGGTGGTAGTGGTGTTTTTGTGAGTTTGTGAGTTTTCCACCAGGCTGTCAGGGTTGAGGATATTGTGTTATGTTTACGATACTTTTTTTGTGTTGATTGTGGTAAAAAAGGTAGGTCCATGATTAAAGTGGGTTTACATTGATTTTCTTCTCATTCTAGCCATGCGGTGCTGTGAGTATGTTTTTGAGTCCATTTGAATAAGTACCGTAACTGATTGGCTGCCTTGTGATTTTGGATGTTGTAATGTTGAGAGTGAGATTCTGGGTTTCTTGTTTTTCCAATAGAATTTAGTTATTATTGAGGTTAGTGTTTGGAACCATTTGTCAGTGGGGTCGATCGGAAGAACTGAGAACAGGTCATTTATTTGGGGTAGAATTTTCATTTTGATGGTTGCAATTCGTCCTATGAGAGTGAGTGGAAGTTTTGTCCAGCGTTTGAGATCGTCTTCAGTTTTTTTTAATAAGGGGGTGTAGTTAAGGTTAAAAAGCTCCGACAGCCTGGGGGAGATATTGATGCCTAGGTCTTTTATGTTGCCAGTGTGAAAAGGAAGGGGTGAGTTTGGGGCTGCAGAATTCCAGCCCGTTCCAGATAATGGTAGAATAGTTGATTTGTTCCAGTTTATTGTGTAATTTGAGATTTTGGAGAAGTTGTTGATAACGTTGAAAGTTTCCTGTAGTGACGCGGGGGGGTTCTCTAGGTATAGAAGGTCATCTGCATAAAGGCTGAGTTCATGTTCTGAGTTTTGGTCCTGAATTCCTTTAATTTGGTTATTTTGTCTTATTGCTGCTGCGAGTGGTTCAATGAAAATGGCAAAAAGAGATGGTGAGAGTGGGCATCCTTGTCTGGTTCCTTGGTGGAGTGTGAAACTAGGTGAGGTGATCCCATTTGTGGTAATGGTGGCTCTGGGGGATGTGTAGAGTATTTTAATCCAATGTATGAACAACTCTCCAAAGCCAAATTTTCGTAGGGTGGCGAGTAGAAATGTCCAATTTACTTAATCAAATACTTTTTCTGCGTCTAGTGATACAATTATGTTTTGTTTTGTTGTTGTTGTGATATATTGATTAAGTTAAAGAGTCTGCGGGTGTTATCTGAGATATGTCTATTTTTGATGAAACCCGTCTGGTCGGGGTGGATTAAAATAGGAGTGACTGTCTCTATTCTCGTTGCTAGTGTTTTTGTGATGATTTTTAAGTCGGTATTAATGAGTGAGAGTGGGCGGTAGCTGGAGGGATGAGTTGGATCTTTGTTGGGTTTTAATATGAGTGACATAACGGCAGTATTCATGTGTGTAGGTATTTTGGAGGTGTTTTTGATTTGTGTGACACGGTGGAATAATGGGGATAGGATGTGCCAGAAATGTTTGTAATATTCTGCCGGTAGTCCATCTGGTCCAGGTGGTTAATGTTTGGCATGTTATTCAGGGATCTTTTGAGTTCTTCTATGGTGAGGGGTGCATCAAGGATGCTTGCTTTATTTGATGAAAGTGTTGGCATTTCAAGATTATTTAAAAAGGTATAATATATCTGATTGGTCGGGATTATGCTCTGGTGAATAAAGGTCACTGTATATAGAACACATGTTGATAAATGTCATACATGTAGAATGTTAAAGTGTCCTGGATCATCACAGTCCTTCTAGTTGGACACTAACTGTCCAACAGACCCTCCTGCATCAGAGGAAAAACTCATAAGAAAACCCCAGTGGGAAAAAGTGAGAAACCTCGGGGAGACCCACGGTTTGAGAAAGAGATCCGCTCCCACAGACGGACAGGATATAGATCCAGGACCTAAGCTACAGAACGTGGACAGATTTATGTTTTTCATGATTTGGCTTAAGCCTCGGTTTTTCAGAGGATTAACTCTGAGCACACCCTGATTTTCATATTGAAATAATATTCCTTGGAATAAATGCAAAAGTTTTCTTCCACATCATGTTGGGGACAGGAGAGAGTGGGTCAGTCAGGATGGAAGGAGGTCGTCTGCTGACGTTGTCACAGAGTTGATGGTTCTATGCTGACGTCACAGAGTTGATGGTTCTATACTGACGTCACAGAGTTGATGGTTCTATGCTGACGTCACAGAGTTGATGGTTCTATGCTGACGTCACAGAGTTGATGGTTCTATGCTGACGTTGTCACAGAGTTGATGGTTCTATGCTGACGTCACAGAGTTGATGGTTCTATGCTGACGTTGTCACAGAGTTGATGGTTCTATGCTGACGTCACAGAGTTGATGGTTCTATGCTGACGTCACAGAGTTGATGGTTCTATGCTGACGTCACAGAGTTGATGGTTCTATGCTGACGTTGTCACAGAGTTGATGGTTCTATGCTGACGTTGACACAGAGTTGATGGTTCTATGCTGACGTCACAGAGTTGATGGTTCTATGCTGACGTTGTCACAGAGTTGATGGTTCTATGCTGACGTTGACACAGAGTTGAAGGTTCTATGCTGACGTTGACACAGAGTTGATGGTTCTATGCTGATGTTGTGGATAATGATTATCTGATCAGAGTCAGACGCAGGCGCTTCGGACCGAGTAGGATCACTACTGTCTTCTCCGGGTTGAGAAGTAGGAAGTTAAGAGTCATCCACATTTTAAGGTCCTTTATGCAGCACTGAGCTTTTCTAGCTGATCTGTCTGATTTGGCTTCATCGACAGATAAAGCTGTGTGTCATCTGCAGCAGTGGAAATTAATTCCATGCTTTTTAATAATGTTTCCCAATGGCAGCATGTAGAGAGTGAAAAGAATCGGTCCGAGTACCGAACCCTGCGGCACACCGAATTCTACTCCAGAATAAGGCGACGAGTTCTGATTTACGTTGACGAAGTTATACCGATCTGATAAATAGTATTTAAACCAGCCAAGGGCTGTTCCTCTAAGACCTATGACCTAGGTCTTAGAGGTCTTAAGACCTAGCCTCTGCAGTAGAATGCTGTGGTCTATTGTGTCAAATGCAGCACTAAGGTCCAGTAGGACCAGCACTGACACTTGTCCATTATCAGCAGCTAGTAGTAAGTCATTTGTGACTTTGACTAGTGCCGTTTCAGTCTATGATGAGTTCTGAATCCTGATTGAAAGACTTCAAACATATCATTTTCCTGCAGGTGGCAGCGGAGCTGCTCAGCTATAAGTTTTTCCAGGATTTTAGATATAAAAGTGAGGTTTGAGATCGGTCTGTAGTTTGTAAGTATTTCTGGGTCCAGGTTTGTTTTCTTCAGAAGGGGTTTGATTACCGTGGTTTTAAAAGCTTGTGGGACTTAGCCACATTGTATGGATGCGTTTATTATATTTACGATAGGCTCAATTATCAAAGGAAGTATGTCTTTGAAGAGCCATGTCGGGACTGCGTCTAACATGCAAGTTGAGGCTTTTGAGGATGTGACCACAGAGATCACCTCTGCTTGGCTCACAGCCATGAATTTATCGAGGCCCACTGAAGAGTCTAAGTGGGAAGTCACGTATGCCGCTTCAGCTTGTCCACTACCAACAGCAGGAGCAACCTCCTCCAGCTTGTCACGGATGGATGTCATTTTATTATTAAAGAAGTGGAGAAAGTCGACACTGCTCAGTGAGCTTTGAATTTTAGGCTCGATTGCGCTATGGCAGTTTGTGAGTTTAGCGACGGTGCTAAACAAAAATCTACTGTTATTTTTATTCGCTTCTATTAAAGTTGAATAGTATTGAGTTCGAGCCCTGCGAAGGGCATTCTTGTAGTTTCGGAGACCTGCTTTCCACTCCCTGTGGACAGGCTCCGAGTGGGAGTGGCGATATAGCCTCTCCAATTTTCTGACGTCGGTTGACGTCGCCCTGGTACAGTTGAACACTGTACCAGGGCGACGATGATCTAATCCTAATAGTTTTCTGTTTTAAAGGAGCTGCTGCATTTAATGCAGATTTTAAAGACTCCATAGAGTTGTCCACCGTTTGGTCAATGACTGAGACATCACAGCCGTAGGTCAGGACAAGGTCCAAGGTGTGGTTATGAATGTGAGTAGGTTCCTCAACATTCTGAGTAAAACCAACACCATCTAGTACGGCACTGAAAGCTTTGTTTAAGCTGTCAGTGCTGTCGTCCACATGTATATTGAAGTCTCCAGTTATAACTATGTTTTCCCATTCCAAAACTAGGTTTGAAATGAAGTCCGAGAATTCTGTTAGGAACTCGCTGTAAGGACCAGGAGGTCGGTATAAAACTATAAATAGTACTGCTTTTTGTTTTCTCCACCCAGGACAGGTGATTGAAAGTGTTAAGTTTTCAAACGAGTGAAAAGCGTTGTTGGTTTTGGGACTAAGAACCAAGTTGGTGTGTGATATAATCGCAACGCCACCGCCGCGACCTGTAGTTCTGGCTTTCTGGTAGTTAACATGCGTCGGAGGAGTGCACTCATTCAATCTAATGTAGTCGTCCTGTTGGAGCCAAGTCTCCGAGAGCGCAAACAAATCCAAGTTTTTGTCTATAATAAGTTTGTTTATGAGAAGCGATTTAGACGAGATTGATCTGACGTTCATTAATCCACATTTAACAACCCTACTTTAGAGCTGCTCGGAGACGCAGCTCTAACTCACTGACCCTGGATTCCAGAGCCACAATTACACTACACTTCACACATCTATCACTGCCCTCAGAGAAGGATCCAGGGTAGACTCACCATATGGCAACTCGAGCAGTACAGGACCGAGGGGGAGGCAGCAGCAGCCATAGGGATAGTGCTGGGTAGCCCAGGCTTTGCACCAAAAATAGTGTTTAATCTACGAAATGTAGTTAAATCAGCACTGACTTTAAGTCCGAGTTGGTAACAAAAGTTAAAACTAGTGACACAGAGGTGTATCAAATTCATTGTAGTTTTTAGCTCAGATGCTGCAGTTAGCCCGGACCCGGGTCCCGTACAAGCAGACTCCGAGACCAGACAAGCAACCGATACCCAAACCTCAGCTACAATACAGCCGATTCAAAGTGTTAACACAGTTAGTTTGTTTTAGACTGGATTATCAAAGATAATGGCACAGAGAGCAGAGGGATAAACCGTCAAAAACACATTCCTCGGACACTTCCCAGACACTTGTAACTGTCTGGGCTGGACGCCCTGGAGAACCTTCCAGACGGATCTGTCAAAGTATCCACCAGAGACACAGACAAGTCCCAACTGCAGACTGGGGGCTAGTCCTCAGGTCCATGGTCTCAGACTGTAGACAAGTCCTCAGGTCCAGAGATGTTTTGGCTTAAGCCTCGGTCTTTCAGAGGATTAACTCTGAGCACACCCTGATTTTCATATTGAAATAATATTCTTTAGAATAAGCTCAAATGCAAAGGTTTTCTCCACATCATGTTGGGAACAAGAGAGAGTGGGTCAGTCAGGATGGAAGGAGGTCGTCTGCTGCTGCTGCTGCTGCTGCTGCTGCTGCTGCTGCTGCCGCTGCCGCTCTGCAGGGGGCATGAGGACTATCAGGGCAAAGTCATGACATACTACACCCTGGAGAACTTTCCGAACGGATCTGTCAAAGTATGTATGCGTTATTGTTTTTGACATGAGCCCGAACAACCGACCAATAAGGAGCCTTCTGTTGCTAGATCCGTTTCTGTTTGCTGTCCTAGATGGCGTTTCGCTACAAATCCAACTGGATGACCTGCCTCCCTCACAAACACATGTGTCCCTCTAACGGCTGCTTGGACGCAGAATACTCCCAAAGTGTGGTGGATGAATCCTCCGGTGGGTTTTGTCAGTTGGAGTCGATCTGGACTCGGACGTCTTCCTCCACTGCTCAATTCGTGCTGCAGTGAGTCCGGACTCTAAAAAAGTTTTTCTCAGTGGCTTTGGTGCATTTCTCACATCTTTCTTCACATTTGCACAACAGTTTGTGCATTTCTCAGAACAATTAGTAAAAACTGCAAAACCTCGTAGAAAACCTGCAAAAGTCACTTTCTCAAAATGAAAAGTTGATTCCTGAAAAGCAAGTCTTCAGGTCAATGAAACTGTCTGTGTCTCAAAATAATAAGCCCTGACACCAGTGTTTATGAACAGTCACATGGTTTAGTCACGTTTTCATCGTGACACTTCAAAACAAACAGTCACTTATTTAGAACAAACATAAGAAATATCGTTATGGTCGAACAAATGTAGACAATTCAACAGCACATGTTACTGTAAAATGGTCCGCTCCAGGTCCTGAGCTTTGGGTCATGACCGAAAGGAGGAGAACGTGGACACAATCGTCAAAATGAGTTTCCTCCGCAGAGGGGCTGCTCCCTTAGAGATAGAGGAGCTCAGTCACATGGGAGTAGCTCGGAGTTGAGCCACTGCTCCTCCACGCTGAGAGGAACCAGATGAGGTGGCTCGGGCATCTGTTCCGGACGTCTCCCTGAGAAGACCCAGTCTCTCGGCTGGCCTGGGAACACCTTGGGGTCGGACGAGCTGGAGGAAGTGTGTGAGAGGGAAGTCTGGGGGTCTCTGCTTAGACTGCTGCCCTCGCGACCCGGCAACAGATCAAGCGAAAGAAAATGAATGGATGAATAAATTCTCAGATCTGTGTTGCCGAATCTGCAACTGCTGCAGCTGGGATTTAGGTCGATACAAAAATAAATTGAGTTGAATTGAAAACATGTACATAACACACAGAGGGACCAGAGTTAAACCTGGACTGACTTTGCTTCAGGAACCGCAACGACCAGTGGGCGACGCCCATCACGAATGATGTCATCACTGCTGGAGCCTCCATTCACATCGACCAGAGGACTCGCTCCGACACGGGACACGCCAACAGGTGTCCACAGACCACCATCCTGCCGGTCTTCAGGTACCACAGGAACACAGCCCTACCAGGAGTAGCAGTATAGTAAAAGTGATGGTAGTCGCAGTCGCAGTAATAGTAGTAGCAGTAGTAGTAGTAGCAGTAGTAGTAGTAGCTATACACAAACACATGGAGTTGAATGTTATTCTCCTGTGGCCGCAGAGACGAGCGCTGAGTCTGAAACGCTCGGTCTCATTTCCCTCCTGCTTTACATACAGAGGCTCAGATCGTACTGTTGCACATGGTTCAAGGCCCATGGACAAACTCAGGCTGTAGTAGTAGTAGCAGCAGTAGCAGTAGTAATAACAGTAGTAGTAGTAGCAGCAGCAGTAGTAGTATCGTCAGGAGCAGTAGTAGTAGTAGTAGCAGCAGTAGTAGTAGTAGCAGCAGCAGTAGTAGTAATAGTAGCAGCAGTAGTAGTAGTAGCAGCAGCAGTAGTAGTAGTAGTAGTAGCAGCAGTAGTAGTAGCAGTAGCAGCAGTAGTAGTAGTAGCAGCAGCAGAAGTAGTAATAGTAGCAGCAGTAGTAGTAGTAGTAGCAGCAGCAGTAGTAGCAGTAGTAGTAGTGGCAGCAGTAGTAGTAGTAGTAGCAGCAGCAGTAGTAGTAGTAGTAGCAGCAGCAGAAGTAGTAATAGTAGCAGCAGTAGTAGTAGTAGCAGCAGCAGTAGTAGCAGTAGTAGTAGTAGCAGCAGTAGTAGTAGTAGTAGCAGCAGCAGAAGTAGTAGTAGTAGTAGTACTGAGGTGT